GCTTATCTCCAGAGCGTTGCTCTGGAGACGAGAGCACCGTTTTCACCCCCCTTCCTCTATTCCAATCCATCACAGAAACCAATACCTCCCCCAATTTCAGAACACTCTGCCACTGCTCTGACAGAAAAAACAGGTCAGGCGAATGACCACTATTATGTGTCAGGCCCTGGATGACTTGGGATAGGCCCATGGCTGTCATGGTGGCCATAAACTCCTGGGTTACCTCTGACCCCACCTCCAAGGAAGACCATAAGCCTGGGGAACTCCACCACCAACCCACCTATGGAGTCAAGGAGCTCAGGCAGGGAGGTTACTATGCAGCAGGGAGGCTGGTACAGTAGCAACAGCCCCAACTGATCCCTCTTAGAGCCCAACTTAACAAATAGGGTCTTGCACCCGGCAATCGAAGGAGCAGCACCCCTGAATGCCTCCCAAGTATCTCGGATGACCACCACCATCCCACCACCCCTACCCTGGGGTCTTGGCTGGTGCCACACCCAGAAACCAGCTGGGCGCATCTCAGAAAAGGGAACTTCCCCCTCCTCTCCCAGCCAGGTCTCCATAATACCTGCCAGGTCAGCTTTCTCCTCCATGATCAAATCATGAAGGAGGATGGCCTTATACAAACCGACCTGGCATTCAGTAGCAGCAGCTGACAGCCCATTGATTTTTAGTGATAATGACTCTGGGTGGCATAATCATACAATACAAATTAGAAAAAAACCAATCACCAGAAGAAAGACAGCTATTAAAAGACAATCAAAGATGCCACCCACTTTAGCCCAAGGCCTGGGGAAACAGCCAGGTTTTCATTGCTCTTTTGAACATAGCCAGGGTGGCAGCCAGATGTATCTTGGAGGGGGATGTTCTTCCAGAGGGCAGGTGTTGCTGCCCCAGAGAAGGCATGCTTCCTAGGTCTCATCAGGTGGCACTGATTAATGGATGAGACGTGGAGCATGCCTGATCCATGCCTGATCATACAGGATGGGCAGAAACTATGGAGGACAGATGGCTCCCCAGATAGCCAGGCCCTACGCCACGAAGGGCTTTATAGATAATAACCAGAATCTTGGCTTGCACCTAGTAGCCTAATTTGTTACACATTATTCCCTTTGTTCTATAGGCTGATTTTCCATTTTTGTTTCTATGTCATGTAAAAAAAAAAAATTGTATCTTGGCTTTCCTCTCAAATAAAGCAAGTCCTCAAAACAGATTACAATTTATAGAACCCCATAAAAATAATCCTCTAAGCCCACTGCCTCCTATAGCAAGGATGAACTGGATTGTGCCTTGTATATTTAGCAACTACATACTTATAACAGCAGATAAATATATCAGAGGAAAGTCTTATCTGAGGATACACCTGCTGATGTGTATATATTCTCTTCCCATCCCCAATCCCTTGCTATTCAGTTGAGCTTCCCACTCAATATCGTCATGGCAAATCTGTGGTTCTTCGCATCTCTTGTTGGCAGGTAAGAAAGAAGATGCTTCACCACTTTCCTTCCTTGAAACCTGCGTGCATAAATTAATTAGGAGATGGTGGCAGTATTCAGCTTCTCTGTAGTATTCTCTCTTACTGCTTTTCTCCTCCCTGCTTAAAACTGTTCTTCTATTTTGAGAAGTTGCCAGACAACAAAGAATCTCAATTAAGACATTCTTGCTTCAGCTGCATTGATCTTTTATCAAATACTGAAAAGGCAATTATGTGAGTGTTAATAGGATGCTATCACATCTGCTCGTGGGAGGAGTATCTGGCGAAATGTTATTCAGTGATTTCACAAACTGCAGGACAAAATATCTGTGCCCTGAACAGTTACAAATCTAACATTTGTGAGATAAAAGAGAGCAGAGGAAGTAGAAGGAGGCTGAGTCAGGGTAAATAAATGAAAAATATACAGGAAGCTACAAGCAAGCTTCTTAATGGGATTATATAGAATTCAGGTGACTCTTCTTCCTTCTCCTTTTTGTATCAACTGTTTTGGCCCACTAGTCATTTCTGTTGTATAATCAGAAATGCCTGTTTGGGTTTATAAAACACCATATGGTTTGGGATCAGAATACCAGAAGATTCAGAGTTTGTTTTCCTACATGGTCCTGCCCAAGATCTTCCACTTTTATTGTCTGTCTATGTATTTATAAAGTGGCAAAGTGCAAGAGGTGATGGTTTCTGTCACGGTGCCACAATTGTAGAATTCATTTCCCTGGGATGTCATACTCGCTTGCATTCAAGATTGCATTAAAACTATTTTTCCTAATCATTTCAGACTTTCTTAATTATTTTGGCTGCTGTAATGCATAATATTACTATTCTTTCTTTGTATTTTTTTAGTATTTTAGAATACAACACTTGTATTTCTTTAGAGATAAAAAAACAGGATTTAAATTACTTTAAATAAATATACATTTATTTCAGAGAATTTATCTACAGCATGTACTACTGCTGTTTGATGGCTTGGCAAGGAGATTACCATTGTCACCTGCTTTGGGGTTTGCTTTAATACCAGTAAATCAGCATTCCTATACTGGAGATTTTTTTTAGCTGTAAAAGTAAAAGGCTTCTAAAGATTCATTTTTAACTAATATGCAATTATTGTGGGGGCAGGGAGAAATAGCATTAATCCAAGCAGTATTAAGTAGGTGCTCATGAAAAATTGCATTGCCACACTTCATGCAGAAATCAGAAAAATATGGAAGGGGAAACTGGAGTATCTCCACAGAATAAGTCATTTATTTGTGGGGGAAAAAATACATGTACTTCTATTAATATAAAGCATTGCTGTTATTTTGCAGAATACAGAAAGTTATATTGGTTTAATGTTGATACCAAAGAACCTTTTGCCTTTTAAATCTTTATGCAGGTTTCTTGAGCAAAATCCTACCACTAATCCTCTTGTTCGGACCACCACCGCAATCAGCATGTTTCACGCAGGAATAAAGGTACAACTGGAAAACACTAGGCTTGGAAAAGTTGCAATAAAGCTGAAGGGGATAATCAGTGGCCCCAATCCCTCTTTTTTTGTAACCTACAGAGACCAATATTTGATAGCAAACCAAACACGAACATGATTTCCCACCATTTTTGTCAGAAAACAAAACAAGTATATATGCCAATGGAGATGCTTAACATACTTAAAACCAGCAAAAAAATCCTCCACTTCCACCAACTTTTCTGATGTTCATTATTGTCCTTCTTGCAAAAATAATGATTTATAAAAGTGTGGCCAATGACCATCCCTCTCTGCCATAAAATGTTAGTACCTACTAAATGACTTCTAAAAATTTTGTATTTTTTCCTAATAATTTTTATCCCAAGCTGAGAATTTGTGAATATGGAAAGGAGACATTGCGTGTTTCCTTGAGTCCTAAAATATGTCCCTGCATGATGTAAAGCCCAGGAAAGCTGTTGCATACTTTATATAGCCCTGGTTTATCACTGAGTGTATGTGCCATGTCTGTTCTGAGTGTTTTTGTGTTTTCACCTCTGTGTGTGTGTATACACACACCCATATGTACATGTTATACAATGTTTTGGATTTAAAGAGAAAAAGAAGCTTTGAAGCAGGTGGAGGTGCTTTTGTAGCATCTATTTGGCATCTGTAAACCAAACGCATCTTTTCCCAAGATCACCCTACGGTTGCATAATCCCAGAAAATAAAATGAAGCTGCTGTACTTCCACACCCCTACATACTCCAAAACACCTCTTGTCCGTCAAAATCACTGCACAGTCCTAATACACACACATGTATACATAACATGCACGTGTTTACAAGTAGCTCTTGTATATATAAAACCATCAAATGTGAATATCACAATAAACAAACTTTAGTGTATGTCTGAGAAATGTAAGCTTGTTGAACAGTGGAAGTGGTTTGTTAGTTTGATGAGTGTTTGTGTGTGTGTGTGCACACATATAGATATAGATAAAGTTATAGGTATAGATAGACAATAGAATACCAGAGAAGATACAGTGTTTTATTACTTAGTAATATGGCTAGTGTGGTAGTTAAACAGCGACACCAGCTGGTAGAACTGGGTTTTGGTTACCAGTTACCCAAATTACAGATTCACATCTCTAAATGCTGCTCTGTCCCAGTCAAGTGTGAAGTGGGGATGTGTCTCTCTGTGACTTAAATTACAAAAGAGCTAAATTCATAATACAGTTGCTTTACTTCCAGATAGTTCACTCATGATAAAAGAGTCCTAAAGAGAAAAGAATAGGGTGGGAGGGATGAACTGTTGTGAAGTATGGTTCAGCAATCACCACCTTGGCTATATTTCAGATTGGATCTCCCATCCACCTTTTTATCCGTGTTTAGGGTTGACCCATTATTTAAGAACATGGGTCTGCTGTTGTCACATATAGTAGACATATGTGCCCAGTGTAAATTTGTACTGATATAGGGGATGAATTGGCAGCATTTTTTTTCTCTAAAGACGGACCCACATTTTCCTGTGCAAGGGAGAAAGAAGCAAGTCATAAATGTAATTTGTTCTGAATATGTCTGTCACTGGGCACGCATGAGTTAAGGGCAAGCACCGCTGGGTCTACCTACTACTATTCTGCAGAAGCAGGCTGCTCACTGCCACCTGGCATAGCATGTGGCTGCATCTTTTTCAAGTGCTTGTATGTACAGCTTTTGCTGTAGAAAAAAAGGCAGACCTTTGCTCAGCATTAGTACAGTGGCATAGGAGAGAGACAGGAACAATGGCCTTCAGAAGAGTAAAAGCAAGCAAGTCCTTCTGTAAGCCACATTTGCAAGTCTTCTTTAAACTTAATGAGATGCCACAGACAAGCCAAGAACTATGTTATGGCTTCAGGTGGAACTGGTTCGAGTTGCTGGCACAGATCTGAAATTCATTGGTGCTTGAAGATAATTCTATCCTTGTTCAGATCTCCTTTTTTCCCTCTCTCCTCCTTTCTAGACAAATGTTATTCCACCGAGAGCCAGTGCCTCAGTGAATTTCCGCATCCACCCATCACAAACCATTGATGAGGTAGTATAATGAAGTACACTGGGGTCTTATGTGCCTTTTCTGTTTTAATCTTAGAATTTGTCATAATTCAGGCCTAGGTTTATAGAGTTTGACGTCTAGTTTTACCTGAGAACACATTAAACAGGTTACCTGATTTAAATATACTGTTCTACTCTCCCTCTCTAAGCTGCTTTGACCTGCTCTGATATAACCTGGGGCTGATCCTGTTATTAAAACCTGTTTCTTGTAGTCCAGGTGCTAGCTGGCTACCAGGCCACAGTACTGGCATTCTCTGGTTGTTACTGCAGGGGGAGATTGTGTATAATTGGCAGTGAGCTATAGATCATATTCTCTTTTCCACCTTAGCACCATGTAGGATTCCCTTACCACCTACATCTTCCCTAGCTTGCAGTCCTAATTTGTGGTTCCTGAATGATTCTGCTGTTGGGAAACCTGCTCCCTGCTTGAGCAAAGTAGAATTCTGTATCCAGAAGCATCATAGGACCTGAGCATTTCCAGGGCCCCTTTTCCAGCCTCTCTCATTCCCTGAGAGCAGCTTTTATTTAGAACAGTTTTTATACAATGTACTTCCCACTATGATATTAAGGAGGGAACAAATACTCTTTAATAGCTCAATATTACAACACATGCTTTGAAGGCAAAAGGCCCTACATTCAGTCCCTGAAATCTCTGGTTTGATTTTCTGCAAGCTTGGAAAGACACACCAATCAGAGAAAGCAATACTGAACTAGATGAAACTGTGGTCTCAGCTGGAATCAGGTTGCACCCCTGCTTGGCTGCCTGCCTGCATCAGCCAGTGGAGCACCAACACGTCTATCTGTTATGTATGATAAATTGTGTATGTGTCTGTAAGACAAGAAGATAGTTAAATGCTTGATGTTGTATCTCCCTTTTTCCTTTGCTTTTGTGGTAGGGGAAGGCTACTAAGGAACATTTTCTTCTATTTGTGAACAAAAATACGACTTGAAATAATGCTTAGGCCAGATACTAAGATGACAAAGAACAGTTTCTTTACCATTCTGCCTGACTGCTGTGTTCTGTTATATATTTCTGTATTTAGTACGACGAGTGATTTAAATGTTGGAAATGTATGTGAATTAAAGAGGTCATTAAAATATATATTTTGAGATAAGGACCCAACATTCATTTGCCCAGCAAGAACTTTCAGTTCCTTTGTATAACAGGAAATAGATTTCAACAATGAGATTCTTAAAATATTCCTGTTCTGCCTACATATTTTTATTGGGAGAACTGAAACTGGTTTGAAGAACTAAGAGAGAGTCTGGAACTTGTGCTAATACCATGATGGAAACCATCTTGGCTACACTAGCTTATTTGTTCCTTTGGGTGTATTCTTAGGTAATGAGAATAGTAGAAGAAAAAATTGATGATAAGAGTGTGAAGATAGAAGTGATGAATGCCTTTGATCCATCCCATGTTAGTCCCTGGGACGACCAAACCTTCGGCACACAGGTTTTACACCAGACCATCCTGGATGTTTTCCCAGATGTTGCCATTGTAGCTCCAGGTAGTGGCAAATGCATGACGATGATTGTTTTTCTCTTCTGTTTCCACCCAATCCCAACGTTGTTTCCATTTTTTTCTATGTTCTCTTTTGTTCCTCTGTTCCATTCCAATACATGTGGATACACATTTATACACAGTCACTTCAAATACTATTAATGACTGGAAACAATTACATTTCTTCTTTTGTTTCTTTGATATCTGGGAGTTGCTTTTTTTTTTTTATTACTATCAGCAACTGGTGAACAGTACACTCGCAGTTCATACATTATTTTATTTCAGGATTATGTTGATCGGTGCATTTTTTCCCCTCACTGAGACTATCTCTGCTATTCAGTTGTGTCTTGTAGCTCTAGATTGTTCCACTACAAAACTATGAGTCTTTTTGAGACCTGAAACATTTAATTATTTTCCATATCCTTTGAAAATTCAAGAGAGAATTTTCAAAGCTTGTGATGAAATTTTGGCACGCAGGTCTCAGTGCGAATAAAGGAAACTAGGAATAGTAGTCTGTGATCTTGAAACAGCATTTTTTATTTCAAAACTGTTAACTTTTTAATACTATTTTTTCTATAGGTGTTTGTATTGGAAACACTGATAGTAGACACTACAGCAATCTCACAAAGGCCATTTATCGATTTAACCCAGTGACCTTTAAAGCTGATGATCTTTCAAGGTACAGTACAATGACCATTCTTCTTAGTGAAACACTGGATAAGAAACATGAGTGCTTTCTTACAAAAATAAATGAGACATAGCCATTGAAACCTGACAATGAACACAGTAATTCATAGCCCTGAATTATGTGCATAGCATTTCCTATTAGTCAAATGGTATTAGAGGGAGAATAAGAGCTGATATCTGTCCTCATAAAAAGCAAAATGAAAGTGCAGCATCTTTTCTAGAACTAAACGGTAACTTTTACTCATGATTTATTGTTTGG